GAAGCTCATGCCCACTGGCAAGCTAGCTAAGTGGCAAATCCTGTTGAGCGAATTCGACATTGTTACGTAACTCAGAAAGCGGTCAAGGGACAGGCACTAGCAGACCACCTTGCTGAAAACCCCATGGATGGAGAATACGAACCCCTGAAAACGTATTTTCCTGATGAAGAGGTATCATTCATAGGAGAGGACACTACGGAATCCTATGACGGTTGGAGAATGTTCTTCAATGGAGCAACAAACTTCAAAGGAGTTGGCATTGGAGCAGTCCTAATATCAGAAACCGGTCAGCATTATTCGGTGTCTGCCAAACTCAGGTTCCCCTGCACCAACAATATGGCCGAGTATGAAGCCTACATCTTAGGACTCAAAATGGCCATTAACATGAACGTTGAAGAGCTGCTAGTGATTGGAGATTCAGACATACTTATACATCAAGTACGAGGAGAATGGGCAACCAAGAACTCCAAGATACTCCCGTATCTGCACCACGTACAGGAGTTGAGAAAGAGGTTCACAATGACGGAATTCCAACATGTTCCCAGAATCCAGAATGAGTTCGCCGATGCATTGGACCCTATCATATATGATACAACATCCAGACAAGAATTTCATTGATCCCATTCCGGTGAAAATCCATAATCAGCCAGCTTATTGTGCCCATGTTGAAGAAGAAGCAGACGGAAAGCCTTGGTTTCATGATATCAAGGAATATTTGGCAAAAGGAGAGTACCCAGGGCTTTCAAATCCTGCTTAGAAACGCACACTACGTAGATTGTCCAACAACTTCTTTCACAGCGGAGGAATCCTGTATAGGAGAACTCCCGATTTAGGATTATTAAGATGTGTAGTGGTGAGTATTCCCGCCTGTCACGCGGGTGACCCGGGTTCGATCCCCGGAAACGGCGCCAATTTTGATAACGTCCAAATCCACTACTAAAAAGTAATAGACACGGTCGCATGCAATATAATTTACCCAACTATGAGTCGGGGTCGAATCCCACAGAGAACAATGTGTAGGCAATTAGGAATGTAAGAAAATTATCGCTTTTCGCGCAATGCCAAACAATAAGAATTTGGTTTTGAAAGTGTTTTATATCTAAATGCGGAAATGTAATCTAACCTAGAAAGCAAGTAAAATGATCAATGGCTACAAGTATGGTTGCATCGGGAATTACACTCAAGTAACGATCCAATGTATTTCATGATTTTACAAGTATGAGCGAGTTTATGTTAATTAGCCACGGATAATAATTCTTAATTAGCTTCTTTCGAAGACTAACAAGACTTCCTAATTGAATTATCCCTAAAACAATTAGAAGATTAAGCACACCCGGAATGGCTACAAGTAGTTCAATCCTATCCCTAGGTAGAATCTATAAAATGAGGGTTAACGCCTCAAGTTCTTGTTAATTAATCTTTCCCAACCCTAAATTATCTTTTCCAAAATTAATTCGGAGTTGATGGGCGAGTCCTAGGGTTACATAATCCCTTTGGAAACATTAAAGAACAAGAATAATTAAAATAACAATAACTCACTTCATAAATAAATAAAAATCATTCAATACATAAGCACAACAAGGTATTTAATCCACACTTTAAACATGAATGTTTCCATAAACAAGATTTAAGTGTTGAAAATACTACACACTTAGATATACAATACAAAGCAAGGAAATGAAGAAAGCAACATAAATGGGTAAGAAATTCTCAACCAAAAGCTTCAATCTTCAAGACCAAAGTGTGTGTGCAAAGCCCTAGCTTCCAAAACTTGTTCTCTCTAGCCCTAAGAACTGAAAATAAGCCAAAAATATGCCAAAGATCTCTTTGGACGAGTATAAAAATGGTTTGGGATGAGAACTTGCGAAATGTCAATTCTGCCCAGGTCTGATGCTCGACTTCCGCACCTGCGGAAGAATAATCGAAGGTGCGGCTCCGCATAAGCGGAACTCCAATCGCAGAAGCAGAATTGTACAATTGTGCTGTCACCGCAGATGCGGTTTTCCAGGTGCAGATGCGCCATCGCAGAGGCGAAAAACCAACCGCAGATGCGGTTTCTGAGAATTTATCCATTTCCGCAGACGCGGTTCTTTCCTCGCAGATGCAGGGTCGCTTCTGCGGCCATCCTTCCGCAGAAGCGGATTCACTGAAGAGTTTTTGCTTGTTTTCACCTTCTTTTGCTCAATTCCACTTCAATTCAATTCAAATCACTTCGTAGCATCATTTTCCTGAAAAGCTAACAATACACACCATAAACGACCTCATATTATAGTAAAAGGACATAAAAGCTAAGGAAAAGAGGCTAGATTGAGTGGTAAAATCACCACTCATCAAAAGGAACCATCCAAGCTACTAGAGGAAATTCATGCTGGGACCTGCGGTCCACATATGAACGGCTTTGTCTTAGCAAAGAAGATACTCTGGGCTGGTTACTTTTGGATGACTATGGAGACGGACTGCATCCAGTATGTTCGGAAATGCCACCGCTGTCAGATACATGCAGACATGATAAAGGTACCTCCGAACGAGCTTAATGCAACAAGCTCACCGTGGTCGTTCGCCGCCTGGGGAATGGATGTTATTGGACCAATCGAGACTGCCCCTTCCAACGGGCACAGGTTCATCCTAGTGGCCATCGACTATTTCTCCAAATGGGTCGAAGCAACATCTTACAAAGCAGTGACTAAGAAAGTCGTGGCGGATTTTGTCCGTGACCGCATTGTTTGTCGATTCGGAATTCTAGAGTCAATCATTACTGATAATGGCTTCAACCTCAACAGCGACTTGATGAAAGCTTTGTGCGAAACTTTCAAGATCAAACACAAGAATTCCACAGCCTACAGACCTCAGATGAACGGAGCTGTAGAAGCCGCCAACAAGAATATCAAGAAGATATTGAGGAAAATGATAGAGAAGCATAGACAGTGGAACGAGAAGTTATTATTTGCTCTACCGGGGTATCGCACCACAGTCCGCACATCAACCGGGGTAACCCCCTATATGCTGGTTTATGGTACAGAAGCTGTCATTCCCGCTGAGGTAGAAATTCCTTCCCTAAGGATCATACAAGAAGCTGAGCTCCACGACACAGAGTGCGTAAAAAGTCGTTATGAGCAACTAGCCCTTATAGACGGAAAGAGAATGAATGCAGTCTGCCATGGTCAACTCTATCAGAACAGAATGTTCAGAGCCTTCAACAAAAGAGTCAAGCCAAGACAGTTCACACCAGGGCAGCTAGTGTTGAAGAAAATTTTTCCGCATCAAGATGAAGCCAAAGGGAAGTTCTCTCCCAACTGGAAGGGCCTATACATGGTTCACCGGGTTTTGACAGGAGGAGCCCTCATACTTGCAGAAATGGACGGGGAAGTCTGGCCGAAGCCGATCAATTCAGATGCAGTCAAGTGTTACTGTGTGTAATCTTTATGCTTTCCTTATATGATATAAATTGAACTACGCCTGACCTGATTCCCTTTTAAGAGGGGATACATAGGCAGCCCTATGGCTTCGGTCACAATTCACTAAAAATTTCATTCCCCCCCCCCCCCCCCCGCACAATCGGAAACTGGGGCAGAATTTGGAGGAGGACCCTCAAAATTCCGATGTAATTTCAGCCGATCGCCGCACGAGCAACAGTCAGAAACGTCAACCCATCAAACTAGGGCAGAATTTTGAGGAGTCCTGAACCACGTCACAGTCATCTTTTTTTTAAACAATCTACTAGGCAGTGCCTAGGGCTAGGATTTATTTATATAAAAAATCAAAGAAAACAAAGTACATTGTCAGGTGGTCTTAAACTATGAAAGTGATAAAACTTGATAATTACATTAAACCTATTACCAATGTTGAGTAATGAACTCAACATTGATATCACAAAATGACAATGTTCTTGTGAAGTACTGATATCTCTCCGCTGTTGATGTTGCTTTCCTTTTCTTGATATTTCCTTGTCTTTGTTGATTAAAATCCTAGCCCCTTGTGTACTATGTTCATCCGTAAATCCTAGCCAAAGATGCCTTGTGAATTGCCATTTCCAGATCAGCTCCCTCGAGTGTTGAATGTACTCCATGTCGCATTTGAGTCCTGTGTTTTTATTGGCCTTTCTGTGATTTTTAATTCCTGTGCTAATGTACTGTGGTGCTGCATCCATAATGCAGTAACATTGCCTAGAAATCTTGGCCAACACCTAGTGCGTGCGTGAAAATGCATGTTCATCTGGGCATTGTATTTTCCCCTTCCTCTCAATGCTACTGTATTTCTGCCCACCCATGATTCACTCGCACTGGACTGAGTACATTGTACTAATACCACCAGTTGCAAGCTCCTCATAAAGTAAAGCATAGTCACAGTAGTGAAAATTCCTGCAAAACTTAACTCAATGTCAGTGAAAATACAGATCACTATGTCCTTCTCCTGTTGGATTTGGATATATCGATCTTTGCTGCGATCTTCTTGAATGACGATGAGTGTTGTTCTCAGGTTTGCCTGGTTCCTTGTATCATGCATTTTATTTCCTCTCCATTGTTGAATGATTATTGTACACTCTTGTATCATCCAGTTGAATTCAAGTTCAACTGTCCACATGTTGTGCACAATTATGATCCACTCTATTTGATATCTTTCTTTATGATTTGCATGTTGCTCTCCTGCCTCTGAGATTGCACTGATGATTTGTATTTCTGAATTAAGCAATCTGCAGATCCTAGAGACTTTAATCAGCTGCCTGCTCCTTTTTGCCTCTAAGCTTTTAGCTACCTCTAATTTTCTTCCACTGGAATGGGTGTAATTCACCAATACCACCAGATGTAAATCCATTAGAGAGTAGTGCCTAGAGGCCTCACCTGCTAAAAAGAACACACTGTCAGTGAAAAAACTGCTCACCATGCTCTCCTCACACCAGATTTGAGCATGATGAGAACCCCATGTAATTTGTTGTATCTCCTGAACAGCTCCCCTATCTTTCCAGCTTAGTTTCTTGCAACTTTGACTCTCAGATGTGGACATTACAGCTTATCTCCATTAACTAACCTTCTCCCATGTGAGTCTAGATCCCAGAAGCCAAAGCCCTCTATGCCTCCTGCATCAAATGCAGAGTTTGCCAGATGATCTACTAGCTTGTTCCCCTCTCTAAAAATATGAGACACCTTAATGCTGAATTCTCCCTTTAACTGCCTTATTTCCTCCACATATTCAACAATGGTCCAAGGTGGATCCCATGTTCCTTCTATAACATTTTTCAATACTAATGAATCAGTTTGCAACCATATCTTCGAGTACTGCTGGGATTTACAGAACCTCAGAGCTTCCAAAATAGCTACTGCCTCTGCCTCATTGTTTGATCCTTCAGAAATCTCCTTTCCTACTGCATACCTGACATCCCCCATGTCATCTCTTATACAGAAGCCAATCGAACTTCTCCCTGGATTCCCTCTAGATGCACCATCTGTATTCACTTTTAACCACCCTTCTATTGGAAATTCCCAAGTGACTTTGTCAAACCTTAGCCTTGATGTATAATTCTCCAGTGTTGATAATAAAAGATGCCATCTGTGAGGCACTCGAAGACCTGGCTTTCTTAACTTGACTAATGACTGCAATGTTGTTGAAGCTTGATGAATAACCCTGCTAACTGACACCACTTCCCCATATTTTAGACTGTTCCTCCTCTTCCACAATTCCCATACAATACAGGAAGGTAGTGCCTGCATTACTGGTTTGATTCTTGGTAAAACTTGGGCTGTCCAACACTTCGTAATTGCTTGATGCATAGTTAGCCCCTCAATAGCTATACCTGCTCTCCCCAGAAAATATTTCCACACTATTTTAGCTGTATTAGATGTGAAGAATAGGTGAGTCAGAGTTTCCTCCTTAGGTTCAACACAACACCAACATCTGGATGGCATCAGATATCCTAACCTCTTCATAAAATCATCCAAAGGTAATTTTGCTCTCCACACTTTCCACATAAAGAATCCAATTTTAAAAGGAATCCCCTTTACCCATATCTTCTTGTAGGCCTCCTTAGGATCAGCTCTCCTCCTTAGGTACTCCCAGGCAGATTTGACAGTGAAGTTCCCTTTTGGTTCAAGCATCCAATATGGGGAGTCTAGTGTATTTGCCTGTACTGGAGGACTGATTTTCTCAACAATGTGCATTGCTAAGTCCTTAGGAAGCACCTCCAGTAATTTATCAATATCCCAAGCTCCATTCTGTACAACCTCAAATACATTCTGAATGCTCTCATCCACTCCAAAGTTCTAAGGAACAAGGAAGTATAAGGCTCCCAAACCAGTCCAATTGTCAAACCAAAACAATGCAGAGCCCATTCTTGGTTTCCATAAGATTTGGTGTTCAATGATGTCCCTACATTCCAGCATTTTCCTCCACACATGTGAGCCTCTCCTCCATGGAACTAGTACTGCATTATGCTTCTTGCAGTATTTCTGACTCACAAATGAACTCCAAAGGCTAGGTTTTGTTCTGAAATTCCCCCATAATTTGGAGAACAATGCCTTAGAAACATCATGCAAAGATCTGAAACCAATTCCTCCCTCTTCATATGGCAGACACAGATTTGTCCAAGAAGCCCAATGCCTGCTTGTACCCCCCACAGCACTACTCCAGAAGAACTGAGCAAAAATCTTATGTAGCCTGTTAATCACATAGTTAGGAGGATTCACAGCTGACAGCAGGTGTATTGGCAATGATTGAAGGACATTTGCTATCAATAATGCTCTTCCTCCAATTGAAAGAAGTTTTCCTTTCTAAGCCTGCAGTTTGTCAAGCACCTTGTTGATCATTGGTTGATAATACTCTAGCTTTCTTCTTGCATAAAAAATTGGGCAACCAAGATATGTGAATGGAAAATCCCCACTGCCTATACCTGATACCCTTTCCACCTTCCTAACCACCTCCATATCTGATAAATGATGCATATAGATGGGAGATTTGCTTTTGTTCACCAACTGGCCAGATGCAGATTCATAAGCATGCAGAACCTCCATCACTAAGCGTAAAGATGTAGCATCAGAAGAAGAGAAAATTATGGTATCATCTGCATAGGCTAAATGGTTGATTTTTAGGCTCCATTTAGGTAATCCAAAGCCACAAAAGTATAAGTTCTGATGCAATGAGTTCAGGCCTCTTGAGAGAGCTTCTGCCGCTAGGATAAACAGCGTTGGTGAAAGAGGATCACCCTGCTTGACACCCCTTGTTGACTTGAAGAAACCATGAGCTTGTCCATTGACTAACACAGAATACCAGTTGTTTCCTACCAAGTCGAACACCATTCCAATAAACCTCTCACAAAAACCCAGCTTCCTTAGCATTTTTGTCAAGAACAACCACGAAAGTCTGTCATAAGCCTTTGTCATATCGAGCTTGATCACCACATTAGGCCCAGCCTTAGTTCTCATCCTTATGTCAGTTATGATCTCCTGAGTGAGCAATACATTTTCCACAATACTTCTTCCCTTTACAAAACCTGCCTGCTCTTCTGAGATCAAATGAGGTAACAAATCTACCAACCTCTCATGAATAACCCTCGAGAAGATTTTGTTGATAAAATTACTAAGGCTGATTGGCCTCAAATCTGAGAATGTACTCACCTCTTTCTTTTTTGGCAGTAGCACAAGGTTGGTATGTGTCACACATTTTGGCAGTTGTTGTCCATTAAAGAATGCTAACACCATTGCATAGATATCCTCTCCAACAATATCCCAACATGTGTGATAAAAGGCACCTGTGTACCCATCTGGACCAGCTGCTGAATCTCCATTCAAACCATATACTGCCCTCTTAACTTCTTCTCTTGTTGGTACTGCTGTCAGCTTTGTATTTTCGTTCTTCCTCAACTAAACAAGGTACATGATCAATAATACGAAAATCACTGGGAATTACAGTTTCAGTGAATTGATCCTGGTAAAATCTAACAGCTTCCTCAGCAATGTGCTCATCTTCTTCAATCCAATTGCCCATGTTATCCTTGATTCTATTGAGCTGTAACCTTTTCCTCCTCCCTTTAACTTGTGCATGAAAGAACTTAGTATTTCTATCCCCATCCTTGAACCAAGCTATGCCTGACTTTTGCTTCCAAAATTCCTCTTCAATTGCCAAAAATCTAATCATTTCAGCTTGAACTTTCTGCAGCCTCTCTCTATTCTGCTGAGTAGGATATGCTTCAAATTGCCTCTCATGCACTAAGACCACTTCTTCAAGGCTTGCAATCTTTTGGAAAATATCTCCAAATGTTGATCTGCTCCAAGTAGAGAACACTTTCTTCAACTTTTTAAGCTTATGATTGAACAGTACAAACGGATTGGCACTAAAATCTGCATTCCAGTTCTCTTTCACAACATCTTTAAAGGTGTCATTTTTTGTCCAAAAATTAAGAAATTTGAATGATTTCTTAATAGGTGGAGTTTCAATGTCACATTTCAGAAGCATTGGGCAATGGTCAGATCCAATCTTTGATAAATGAGTGATCTCAAATCCTGGAAAAGTTTGTTGCAGCTCCATATTACCCAAACATCTATCCAACCTCTTGAATATGCAGTCATCCTCTGATCTACCATTCCACCAGGTAAAAATACTACCCTTGAAGCCCAAGTCTGTCAGGTTACAAGTATTAATACAATGTCTGAAATCATCAACCTCAATTAGAGATACTGGCAATCCTCCAAATTTTTCTTCCTCATCCCAGATCATATTAAAATCCCCCTACAAGCCAAGGAGATGTCATATTTGTAGCCATAGCATACAATGAATCCCACAATTCTATCCTTTCAATTCTATCACATTTTGCATACACCAAGGTAAGGATCAACTCTACATGAGTTTCAATGTGGAATAATTTCAAAGTCAACTGCTGCACCATGTTGTACAGAATAGTAACCTCGAAGACTTCAACAATGAATGCCCATATTTTATTTGAAACATTAACCACAGCCTGAGCCAAACCTATTATGCTCTTATACCTTTCCATTTTACTGGACTGTTGCATTGGTTCTAGAATTCCTATAAACTCAGAATGATGTTGCCTATGCATAGTAATCAATCTTTCAAAGGCCTGCATAGTATTCACTGACCTGACATTCCATATAATGGCATCCATTACTGATTGTGTGATTTATTGAGGGACATTGTTCTCCTTGTTTGAACCCCTCCTGCATGAGCATTTGAGGTGTCTTTCACTTGTTTTTTCCTGCCCTTGGTTGCAGATTTGACCTGTTCTATCAATCTGGGAGACAGATCTCCTTGTTTGGCTATATTTTGAAAATTCTGGACTGTTGATTCTTCATCCATATCTTTGCCTGCACCCTCAGCACCTTCTATATCTTTGTCACCTCCTGTAACTATCATATTGGTATTTTTTTGCATGTTAACTACTGCCTGCTTCCCTGCCTCATTCTGGTGCTGCATTAAATTCAAAGGCATAATCTCTTCTGTTGCTTTTGCTGCAGTATTGGAGTTCTTTTTTTTTAATGTACTACCAAATTCAACTATATTTGTTTGCTCAGTTCCCCCTAGATCAATGGCATTGTTGTCTACCTCTTTACTTGGCACACCTTTTAACAAATTCCCTTCCTTGTTATTTTGCTCATCATTATGAGCCTGCTCCTCATTGACATCAGTTACATTTTTTATTAGACTCTGCTCACCACTGATTCCTTCACCCTTTGCTTTACCATTAACACTTTGATCCACCTCATCATTTGCATCTCCACCATTTTCTTCTTCACTTTGCATCACAACTTGTATCACACCCTCATCTGGATCCTCCTCTGCTTGGTCAGACCATAACTTGCCTCCTTGCCAGTTAACTTTGTCATTATTCTGGAACTTTTCAAAATCTGTATCCACAATGTTTTCTTGATCAATGTTCTTAGCTAGCTCTGCCTCCACTCTAGTATCCTGAGAAGGAATATCCTGTACTGAAGTATTAACTGTCACCATATTTTCCAGTAAAGGCCCTTTGTACCCACTGTGCAGTAGATTCCTTGACTTGTTGTTCATAAGCTATTTTCTCCTTGCTTTTCATTTCTTCCCTCTCTCTTTGTTTATTGATTCCTGCTGAATTGGAACTACCAGTTGGGATTGCTGCCTTCAGATTTTGTTTGACTACTTCTGCATTTCTGTTATCCCCATTTTTCTTTTTGTTTTTCCCAGGTGATCTAGGCACAAATTCTGGTGCAGTAGGATTCAGATTCCCTTTTTCCTTTTGGTTATCCATACTCTTTTGTTCAGCATCTTCCTCTACTACAACCAATTGCTTGTTCTCATTACCTTCACTGTTTTCAACCTCCAGCAAGGCAAACTTATTGGTTGTCTGCACCTACTTAGGCGAAACATCAGTTTGCACAACAACAGTTTGTGTAATCATTGGCATAATTTCCTTTCCATTTTGTTGGTCTTTACCTTGCCCTCGTCTATCCCTCACTTCTTTCCATTGGGGACCAACATTGCCCACGACCTTACCATTTGATAGAATCATTTAAGGAGCAGCATTATTCCCTTTGTCTTTATTCCCTTCAACCTTGCCATTGTTATCTACCTGCTGTTCTTCCCTCTTGTTAGCACAAGTTCAGGATGCAACCTCCAACATTCCATCATATCATGCCCTTGAAGCTTACATTCCTTACAGTATTTAGGTAAATAGTCATATTGAATATTCACCCATTCTGTTCTTACATCCCCAGAGTCTTCATTAACAATGTCCATACGTACCTTCTTAGGGAGATTAGCTAATAAGTCGACTAACACTTTCACACGAGCACAGCTAGGTCTAGTCTTATTCACAGTAGGTTCATAGAGATGTAAAGGCTCACTTACAGCAGATGCTAATGAGAACAAGCATTCTTTCACGAAATAGGTTGGTGACAGATTTGGGAAGGATATCCAAGCCATTACCTTTGGTGTCTCCTCTCCCACCTTAAACTTAGCATCATATATCAAGGTTCTCAACTGGTATTCTTCTCCATGCTTGTCCTTGATATAGTAGACACCTTTCGACGTAAAATTAACAAAATCTTGCCGTAATGTAAATCTTATCAACACATGCCTATCACGCAGATATCCAATAAGACACTCACCCTTAATTCCACATTGAATAGGCACAACACGACGTAATTCATTAAGCTCAGGCCATCTGTATGAGAATTTGCACACAACCGCATATTATAATCCTTCAAGAACGTTCATACGTTCCACTTCAGATTCTGTAAAGCACACCGTTGGTTGTCCTTGAAATACATTGGCTCGACGAAGGGCAATTGGCTCTATAGAAGCAGTACGATTCTGCATGGCAGTGGTCATCGAAGTAGGGTTCGCAGCTTTTGCGTAATTAATGGGTTCGTTTGTAGGATTTGAGGGCTGGGGATTGTTTGTAGTTGTAGTAGGAGGTTGTGCAGAGGTGTTGGGGGGCTGACCAGCCGAAAATAATGGCTGGCCGCCGGCCGGCGAATCCATAAGGCTGTTTCTCTCTCTAGATCGCCCAAAATCGCCTATTTTTGCCCCAGAGCTTCTCCTACATTAAGGTATTGATAACAACCTACGTCATGTCACAGTCGTCGGTTCATCTAAAAAGCTATTTTTTTATTTATTATTATTTTTTAATTATTATACATTTATGTCATGCTTTTACAAATTCATTCATGTTTATTATTGAAACCGTCTTGTTTAGCAACGCTACCCCAACGATATAGACGGTATCACCAGATCAAAGTCGAGCGAGTCAAGCAAAGCCAGCGGGGTTACGAACTAACCTCCCCCTTTACAAAACTCACGATTTTTCTTTGGACGCAGGCACTAGGATTGTGAAATCCTTAAACATATCGTACGCCCAGGGGACAAACATTGTTCTCAGAACCGTTGCACTTGCCAACATTTGTTACCAGCACACGCCAGTAATGCTCCGTAGTTACAATGCTCCCAATAATCACAATGTCGCGATCTGCTATCAGCTAAGAAAACTCTACTTCCATTTGTCACTTTATTTCTTGCATAAGGCTACCATTCTGCCTTCCGAGACTAAACGTTGTCTTCATCTGCATTCTTGCATAAGGCTACCATTCTGCCTTCCGAGACTAAGCACTGTCTCCATCTGCATTCTTACATAAGCTACCATTCTGCCTTCCCAGACTAAATGTTGTCTCCATCTGCATTTGCATTGCTTAAGGCTACTATTCTGCCTTCCAACTTGCATAAGGCTACCATTCTGCCTTCCGAGACTAAACACTGTCTCCATCTTCATTCTTGCATAAGGCTACCATTCTGCCTTCCGAGACTAAGCATTGTCTCCATCTGCATTCTTGCATAAGGCTACCATTCTACCTTCCGAGACTAAACGCTATCTCCATCAGCATTTGCATTGCATAAGGCTACTATTCTGCCTTCCAACTTGCATAAGGATACCATTCTACCTTCCGAGGTTAAGCTCTACCTCCATCTGCATCTGCATTGCATAGGGCTACCATTTTGCCTTCCGAGACTAAACTTTGTCTCCATCTGCATCTGCATTGCATAAGGCTACTATTCTGCCTTCCAATTTGCATAAGGCTACCATTCTGCCTTCCGAGATTAAGCTCTACCTCCATCTGCATCTGCATTGCATAAGGCTACTATTCTGCCTTCCGAGACTAAACGCTGTCTCCATCTGCATCTATATTGCATAAGGCTACTATTCTGCCTTCCAATCTGCATAAGGCTACCATTCTGCCTTCCGAGGTTAAGCTCTACCTCCATCTGCATCTACATTGCATAAAGCTACTATTCTGCCTTCCAATCTGCATATGGCGACCATTCTGCCTTCCGAGGTTAAGCTCTACCTCTATCTGCATTCGCATCTTTGCATAAGGCTACTCTCCTGCCTTTCGAGGCTAGACTCTGCCTCTAATTTTCCTCGAAATTAAGCGCTATCTCAAGCACTATTTATCTCGCTTCTCTTATGGGCTAAGCTCTGCCCTTCAATTCGCAAGACTGAGCTCTGTCTTGTCCGCATCATACTACCGCATCCTTCGTGGGTTGAAATATCGCCAACTCATCCGAAGGCGTCATCGTTCGGAGGAAAAATCTTCATATCCCGAGAACACCATGTCATGGCCTGAGGACCTCTTTCAATCTTTTGCATATCATTATTCAAAGGCGTCATGGTTCAGAGGCACCATCCTTATAGCCCGAGAACAGCATTTCATGGCCTGCGAATCCTGCACCAAACAACCCATGGCCCAGGACATCATGGTCTGAGGACGCCATTCCTAACCGTCCAAAGACAACATTCATGGTCCTACGGGAATTTGCATCATGTTTAAATTATAAAATATACGCTTGTATTACTTCTATTTGCAGGTAAGCCGGCGACCAATGACTATCCCAGCAGGAGCGATCCCACTCCAGTTCCCTCCAACCGTCCCGAGCCTTAAATGCTCACTGTAACCGCGTCCACATCTTGTGTCCGTTCTTACAAAATTTCATCGGCATACTCCGCAGGTGAATCCAGAACTTCACATGGCATGATTCCTATAAAACCAGGGATATGTAGGTAACTCGGAGACCGAAGCTCGGCCTCTGTCTTTCAAAACATCCCGTCCGTTCAAAATTGGCCATCATGTCTTTACCCGTAAACTCTTTAATTCTTCCCGGGTAAAGAGGGGCAGCTGTTGATACGCAATTTTTTCCTATATATTTTAAATATGCATAACTACCTTCAAAATAGCATATATATGCATATATAAGCATGTCCAAGGTTTTTATTATTTTTCCCATAATTTAAAGTGATTAAATTGACGTACTTTCTCCCTTTTTATTCATAAAATCCCCAACAATTGTTTCCCAAATTATTGTTTTGATAATTCACCTATTTAATTTCTATATTTATGCCAAAATATGGCTAAGGTAATTTTTATATATTACATTTAGTATTTTTGAAGCTAAATTGCACATAATTGCAATATTAGCCCTTTTAAGATTTAATTATGTTTTATATGCATAAAATTGGATCTCGTATTTTTAAATTGTTAATTATGTATCTCAAATCATTTTGTCACCTTAAATTTATTTTGTAGAAATTGCCTGTTACTTTTTATAAATTAAATAGGTGAAATTGGCTATTTAAAT